ATCCTGCCCAGGTCCCGGCCACTGCTATGGGGGGCTGCCTAACCCCAGGAGCAGGGTGGCTGACCCCCAAAAGCGTCTTCACTCACCCCAAAGAGCATCTTAACCCCAAAGAGCAGCTTTTAACCCCAAAGAGTATCTATGCTAACTCCAAATTCATCTTAACTAACCCCAAAGAGCACCTTAATTGGCACCAAGGAGCATCTTCATTAACCCCAAAGAGCATCTTCACCAGCCCCAGAAAGCACCTTAACCCCAAAGAGCATCTTAACCCCAAGGAGCGTCTTTGCTAACCCCACAGTGCATCTTCACCAACCCCAAATGCATCTTTTATAAACCCAAAGAACACCTTCATTAGCACAGGGCATCTTAACTTACCCCAAAGAATTCCTTACCTAGCACCAGAGAGCAGCTGAACCAACCCCAAAGAGCATCTTAATGCCAAAGAGCATTTTGGCTAACCCAAAAAGCACCTTATCCACCCCAAAAGCCCCTTAACCAACCCCAAAAGCACCTTATCTGCCCCAAAAGCACCTTATCCGCTCCAAAAGCACCTTAACCAACCCCAAAAGCACCTTATCCACCCCAAAAGCACCATAATGAACCCCAAAAGTACCTTAACCACCCCAAAAGCACCTTAACCAACCCCAAAAGCACCTTATCCACCCCAAAAGCACCGTAATGAACCCCAAAAGCATCTTATCCACCCCAAAAGCACCTTAACCACCCCAAAAGCACCTTAACCACCCCAAAAGCGCCTCGTCGACCCCAAAAAGCACCTCAACTGACCCCAAAGAGCCTCCTGGCTGACCCCAGCAGGTCCCCCAGTGTCACCACCGTCCCCACGTGGTCCTGCCCTGGCCGACCCCCCCCTCCCCAGCTCAGTGGGGAGCCCCCATCCATGCACCACCCCACCCCCCAGCTCTGCCCCCTGTGGGGGTGCAGGATCCGACCCCACCTCTGGCTCTTACCCTGGCTCCGGGCAGCCCGGGCTCTCCGGGACGACCGGGGTCACCGGTGGCTCCTTTGGGACCGGCGAGGCCAGCGGGGCCACGCTCGCCCGGAGCACCCTGCGCAGGGGGGAGAAGGAGTGAG